GCAACGCTAAATTATTTATAAAAAAAGAAGTTGGGGATCTTAAGCTCTTTTACGCAATTTTCATTAAGCTTAATAGATTTTTTGTTGTTTTTAATTTTATTTGAGTTTTTTCATTAGTAAATAGCGCTTATATCTAACATTGTCATTTAAAGTTTTGTAACAAACTTCTTTATATAATTGTCATTCAAAACTTAGCATCAAATAAAATCAAATTGTATATATTTTTTTTATCATAATAAAATAATATACTTTTATTAAATTAGTTTTAAATTAAATCATATATTTTTTTATCAGAATTAAAGTATTATTATGATTTTTGCTTCAAGTCTTAAGCATTTGCATTTTTCAGGTGAAAAAATCAATCATTACATAACATAAAGTAAAAATAAAATATCACAATATAAAATAAAGATAAAATAAAATTTAATTTTTTTTTTATTATGAATTTATTTTTTTATTATTAAATAGAAATTTAAGTAACTTTTTATATTGCAATCAAAAGTTCTATAAATATTATTGTGCTCGCAAGATGATAAATAAAAGTTTTTATTATATTTCTTTTGTTTGTTTTTTTTTACCTTTCATTTCATAACTTCGTATGCAAAAAAAATTAGTCATTGACTATAAACAGTTTAGTTTTCTGTTACTATTTATTTCGATAAAATTATTATTTTAATAAAGATTAGGTTTTTTCTTTCATTAGTAAATAGCTTATATTTAACATAAATGTCATTCAAACTTTTGTAACAAACTTTTTTACATAATTGTCATTCAAAATTTAGCATATTTTTTTATAAAATTAATTAGTTCTTTTATCTTACTACTTATAGAATAATTTAAAAGTTAAAAAATGATAAAAAGTTGCTTAACGGAAATTGTTGTAGGCGCACGTAAAATTGCTTTATGCTTGGAATGGAAATCTGCTGTATGTATATAAAATTGCTTTGCTAATGTAAAATTTCTTTACACTTATGTAAATTGCCAGCAGCTTAACGCTTTAAAACTAGGTCTGCTACAGTTATTTATATTTTATATGGAATGACTTCTTTTTATAAAAAAAAAATCTTCAATTCCCATACAAAAACTCTTCAATTCCCATACAAAAGTTCCAGTTACTTAAATAAATTTGCTGAAAAGGAACAAAAAAATGGTTCAAATTAACAAAGTTTAAGCCATCTAGAGGTTCGACTTAACAGAGAATTCTATTAGTAATTGATTTCAAGGGACCAATTGTAACAGTTCGAGAAATAAAAGTTTAAACCAGTATTCAACTTACTGGGAAATAATTGTATTTGTATAATATCCTGTTATAATGAACTTTACAGTTAGGTTAAAACATTATTTGGTTAAAAACTATTCAAAATTATTTTTTTATTTAAAATTGTTTTTATTATTTTTTTAATTAAAATTATTTATTAAAAATCAAATTTAGTCATTTGTAATTTTATTAAATCCAAATTACTAAATACAATTACAATATTCCAAATTAAAAATAAAAAGATTAATTTTTTGTTTTAATAAGACAATCTTCCCAATAATAAGATTTTTTAAGATAATCTTCCCAATAATAAAATTATAAGAATTAAGTTTTTTAGTTTGAATAGCTATAAACTTTAATTTAGATGTTTTTTTTGCTAATTAATTCTTATATTTTTATTTTAAGAAATTAGTTTTCTTGCTATAAAAAAATATTTAAAAAATTTTTTTTTGATAAGAATTGTTTAGCTACTACAAGATACTGTACAGGACAAGGATCAATCTAGGTTTGTTTAAATTTAAAAATAGGTGTTGGGCCTTGTTAAGAAGTCTTACGCTGCTTGCATTTGACATATGAAATGGCAATTTTATCTGTACTATTAACATTACGCAAAAACTTTTTTCAATTGGAGCACTTTTCAAATAATGCTGAAAACATTAAACAGTAATTGTTTGTTTTGTTTTTGTTTTTTTCTATTTAAATCAAAAAACAGGAAGTTAAATAAATTTTTTCTGCTTTGTGATTTAAAAAATTTAAATTTTGAATTTATTTTATATTTATATTAAATTTTTTAATCAACATTAATAAATTTAAATTTTATCAAATTAATTTAAATTTAAAAAAAAATTTAAAAACGCTCTGTTTTACAAAAAAAAAAAATTATTTTTAAAATTTTTTAACTATGTTAAAGAAAATTCTTGTAATCAAATTTAATTTAAGTTTTTTATGTTTGTTTTATATTCAACTATTTTTTTAATTCATTTATAGTTTCAAATCAATAAATTTTTACATACAAAAGTGCTTAATCCTTTAATTGTATACAAATGCATTGCCTTAATCAAGCCTGTAGCCAAAATTTTTTTAGAGAATTGAAAAAAAAAATTGTATTACAAATTTTTGAAAATATAACTTTTTTTGTTTTTGTAATTGCTTTTTAACAAAATTTTTTTTAGTATCATTTGTTTTTTAGATAAGTCATAATATAAACGTTGATTAGTAATGATTAATTAGTTTATGGGTAGT